CATTAGCTATTGGTCGACCAGGCGGAAGGGCTCATTTTCTTGTGGTACTTGTCTTTTTTTGTGCTGCCAAACTGTGGTTGTAGTGGCCTACACTGTGCCTCTCTTTTTTGCAAAGGCAGTAATTTGATATTGGGTGTGGGAGGTCGCATCACGAATAGCCAGCTGCAGGGTGTAGGTGTAGCATGAATGTTCAGTCTACGGGGCCTTCAGACTGTGGCACTTATGTTACATTCATTGTCTGTGACAGTGTACTTTCGATAGCTGTCTAATATTTCCCATTCACTGTATGTTTTGTCAAGCATTTGTGTGGTATCACTGAAATGGTGAACAGCCATGAGGAGAGTGTTTAGAATGAGCAGCTTTCTTCTAAAACTTGGAATGACAAAGAGAATAACAAAAAAAAGCTCTTCTTGGCACATGATGTTCAGATGTCTGGTTAAGGTAGTTATAGCTATGGTCAAGGGCAGTGCTAAGTTTGGCCTTCTTCTGTGTGCTGCCATACAAGGGTAGATCGAGGGTGTGTAAAATTGAGTGATAGTGAGGAACAGCTGCTATCAGGAATCTCTGGTCTTCAACAATACTGTTGTGTTGCAGAGCAAACGCTACCATGCGCAGTCAAATGGGTATTTGTTGTTTGCGTCTTCATTTGGGACAAAGGTTCAGCGCTTGGCACAAAATCAATTATTATTGCCTAATTAATGACTGAAGAATGAAAGCTTCTTTCACAATGGTGCTGATGAGGCCACGCCAACACAACCGAACTTTATCTGCCCTAGACAAAAAACTAATCTAGCAGGCCTTACTTTTATTCACAGTTCTGTTTTTAATACCTCTATAGTGTCATGAGTAAAAGAGAGGCACGAGGCCGGTGCCGAACGTGGAACTGCGGAGACTGTGCACGAGGAGAGGAGAGTCACACGAGTGCACATGCACCAGCCACATAGACGTAAGAGATTGGTCGGAGAAAGGCTCGTGGCACGAGACCCAGTCCGAAAAGAAAAATCCCAGAGGATGAGAGGGCACTGTGCGTTCGGACTCCAAGCTCGAAGATGGAAGGCTAGCCTCTCTACAGCGACGGAAGCAGTAGAACTGCCCAGTTCTGAGGATCCCGGCGAAGAAGTTCAGGGAGCAGCCGTTGATGTTGGAAGAATCAAGTGAGGCTGCCCGGACTTGCCGCAACCTGTCACAGCAGTTACTGGGTGGACTACAGCTCCTCTGCTTCGATACAGAACATATACACCCCGCACCACAGTCAAGACGCGGTTGATGAATTAGGCATAGCCTAACGAAGCCGGAGGATACAACGAAGATTGGAACCGACCGGCAATGAGGTGAAGTGCCTCGTACGGTGACGGTTTCCAGGATGACTTCGACCATGGCATCTATTTGTCAAACTTCAAGGTTGTCATTGGAGCAGTAAAAATCTTCTATTATTGCAAGAGCGCATGAGCGTGGCCACCGAGACACCATTTCGGCTAGAGACAGTCTGAGGCGTAGCACTGAACTTGACTTGGATAATTGTTAGTTACGGTATCTCTGTATAACAGATAATTGTATTTGTACGTGCTTCTTTTTGGGTGTGAATATTAAGTGCCAGATTACTGTTTGCCATTTTGTGTAATATTAAAATGGGTTTCTTATGTTCACGTCTCTCCTGCGTATCTCCCAATCCAACCCTTAGTAAGCGCTCCTGAGATAAAGTTTGTGACACATAAATACTATCTTCTCATTTCAAATACACATCTGTGAGCCTCTCGCACAAATCTTGAAATCGTTTTGGGTGTTGCACACCAAATCCTGCGTGAAAGAAGCTTGCGGGGAAGAAAAAGACAAAACAAATTTAGATGACAAGATTTAGCGAAGCAATAATTACACGTTGAGATACAGCATCTTTGAAAGTGAAAAATTAAAATGAAGAAATATGTATATTGGCTACACTAAAGAAGTTCTTGCTAAAATTTTTTAAAAGGTCACAGTTTCACCGCAAGGGTGAAGCAATGAATGTGATAGCAACAACTTAAAATGTAACGCTTAGAATGCCAAGCAGATTGAAATGTGCAGCATGCTGCTCACGCACAAATGACGCGGGGAAACCGCACAGCACAAGAGCAAACAAAAACGACACATGAAGCTTCACAGGTACACATATGAGTGCGAACTAACGAGAGTCCCAGTTCTTACTTTCGCCCTTCCGCGGTGGTCTAGTGGCTATGGTAGTCAGCTGCTAACCCGCAGGTCGCGGGATCGAATCCCGGCTGCGGCAGCTGCATTTCTGATGGAAGCGGAAATGTTGTAGGCCCCTGTACTCCGATTTGGGTGCACGTTAAAGAACCCCAGGTGATCGAAATTTCCAGAGCCCTCCACTACTGCGCCTCTCATAATCATATGGTGGTTTTGGGACGTTAAACCACACATATCTATCAGTTCTTACTTCTCCGTGTTTGAGAAGCCTGCTCTTTTCGCACCCAGCGAGGGAAGTGAAGTTTGTGCGCCCGGCACCTAAACGCAATCGTTTCGGTGAAAGCAGAAGACACGCGATTCTCCCCGACCACAGGATAAGTGTGCGGATAAGGCCCCTTTCCTACGTGGAGCAAAGCACGCGTAGGAGATGGGCGCCTATCGGCACATTGCGACAAGCTGGGCACTGAGTGCGCCATCTCACTTGTAATGCTGAAAACACTCCGTTTCCCCCTGAAATAGGCGCCCCAAGGGTGAAGTGGTAGATATAAATAGCTTGCCGTTTCAGCATTGAAGGAGCTACTCCTTCGAGGCTCAGTGGCTAGCGCCATATGCTCATGAACAAAAGGTCGGGACGTTTGATTCTGCTTGCGGAAGTCTTTTTCTGGATTATTTTTCTTTCTTGCAAATTTATGTACCGTATTTATTTGAATATAGGGCGGTCACGATTATAAGGCGAGGGGGAGTTGAAGGACCAAAGAAAAGGAAAAAGTTTGCACACTATTAAACGGCAAGAGTTCTTGCCAAAAACTTTGACATCCCACTTGGAAGTGTGCAAGAATCAGCCGTGTAACCACATAATCATGAGCTGTCATTCTCTGAAGTATCACGGCTTTCCTTGTTGCTGTAGCATTCCTAAAGTTCACTAACTTTGGTGCCGTCCAGCGAGTTGGAAATGGGGCACTTCTTGAAAGAAGCTGCCATCATTGCGTCGGGTATGGCTGCCCAAGCGTCGGCTATCCAGCGAGCTACTACAGACGGAGATGCACGCTTCAAACGGCTCGAAGGTGTCGAGGCCGTTTCGAAAGAGGCCATACACTCGTCGTAGAGGCATCTTACATGGTTTTTAAAAGGCTTGTTCAGACACACATCCAGTGGCTGCAGCTGACTCGTCATGCTACCAGGAATGACAACGAGATCGGTGGCTGATTCTTGTAGCTTTTCTTGACCGCTGCAATCGGGCGTCCCCGAAAAGCGTCAAGAACAAACATTGATTGGGGAGCCAGCAGAGCTTTGGGATGCCGGCACCACACAGTTTTTAAACAATTGATGACGAGTACTTCAGTCATCCAGCCTTTTTCCTGGCAGCAGATGTGCACACCCTTGGGGAAATTTTCATTCTTGGCCATGGTTTTTCTCTTCAGCACCACGTGAGGCAACAGCTTGTGCCCGTCAGCAGGGCACGCTAACATGACAGTGATTCATGCTTTTTCGCACCCTGTGATACGTATGGGAACTTAGCGATCATCTTTCGCATGTACGGTCTGCACCGAGGGCATGTTAAGAAATACCATGGTGTCGTCCGCGTTCCCGATCTGGCCGAGGAGGAAGTTGCAGTCCCTTTGCACTCCGATTACATAACGTTGAAAAGACAGCAGCTTTTCTTTGTAGTCACGGGGAAGTGTTTGTGCAATAGAAGTCGGCCTTCTAAGTGAGAAGTCGGCTCTCTTCATGTACTTCTGCACCCAGCCTCGGCTAGCCTTGAACTGCGACCCGGAAATACTGCGATCTGCTGCGAACTCTCGGGCTTTCATCTGAAGCATTTTTGTTGTCACAGTCAAGGCACGGCTATTCTGTTAGACTTTCCTCCACTTCGGGAAACACCCTTGCGCAGTCCTCGAAAAGCTTTCCGCATCGCAGCACAGGCAAAGAGGGCCCCCTGCTCGTTCCATCAACAACACTACACTCGTTGTTTTCTGGGATGCCGTACTTCCGACCTGCAGCGCAGTTGCCTAAAGCATCAGCACCGATTATCACCTTCCTCTTGAAGGCTGCATCATAGTGACGACGACTTGCCATGATGACTAGTGACAATAGAAAGGTTCTTGTAGGTAGTCCAAATGTGAGGCCGAACCAAGGTCGCGGGAGGCTGCACACTCACCAGCAAGGGAACATAAAAGACAAGTGCGCATGGAAAAGTGGCCGGAACGGCCGGAACTCTGTTTTGCATTCCAACATACTGGATTTTGGCTGGTTGTTCTTGGCTTTTAGTGATTTCCAGACACGCCGCTGCAAATCTCTGAGCCCACGAAGTTCTCGGTCGTTGTTTTTGCAGAAATAACTGCTGTCAAACCGTTTACTTTTTTTTCCGATCTCACTGATGATGACCTATTAAGTTACAAGGCACATACGTAACAGCGTTATAACGTTAAATATTTGGAATAATTTACATTTTCATGCAAAGAAAATACCAGTATGCTTGTCCTGGCATTGAAGCAGTAATTGATGTTTACCTCGAATATAAGGCGGGGGTAGTCTTTGAGGCCACGGTTTCGGGAAAAAATCTCGCCTTATATTCGAATAAATTCGGTCTACAGACATGTATACATACGCAGTGAATAGCGGCGAACGCAGACGTCGAAAATCGGTGGCAAAATCAAGCCAAGACTGTTCATATAATGTGATTATGCAAGTTTGTATAAGATATTTCAATTTTTTTTAGTAAGCAGAGAAATGTGTGATTGCAGATTTTCTGTATGTGCCCTCTTGTTGAGTCTGACTTTTGCAAGCGGTAAGCAGAGCGTGCTCATTGTATGTCTCAGGCATCCAAGCTGGTGTCTAAGTCAGCCTTTCCCGAAGCAGCATCCAACAACGAGTGGGCCCGTTACCTCTACTACCTGGGGCGCATTCGTGCCATCCAACTGGACTACTCAGAGGCCCGGCGGCATCTGCTGCAAGCCATTCGCAAAGCACCTCAGCATGCTGCCTTGGGGTTCAAGCAGACGGTGAGTGGGCATCAACTGCCATGCATGCTTAATAAAGTATTCCAGGTAATTTTTTACCATATTGCATTAATGCCATTTTCGAATAGTATTAGGAGCCCTGCAACTGATAGGGTAGTTAAGCTTGCCAAGACATTAATCAATAAATTTAAATACCATATTCACTCACATAATTTGTGCCCATTTTAGTGGCGAAGCTCTTCAAGATCGAGGCTTGTCCATTGGAATTGATGTTGGCGCTGTGCTCTTCGAAGGCACAGCAGCTGCAGGGTACCCACTATACGTCATGACGACAACACTTATGACAAAAAAACAAGCGCCTTTTATGCCACTTATTCTCCTGCCATCACGGCACAGGACATGCAAGGTACCCACTATACGTCATGACTAGTGACCGGAACTTTAGGTACAAAAGAAGAATGTTTTGGGTGCCTGTAATAGGCCCTGAAAAAGCCGTTGAATCAGAAATAGGCGTTAAATACGATTGTTTAGGCATGTATAGGCGCAATTCATAATTGCTTCAGTAGCGTTCTCAGGACAAATATTCAACTTCCAACAAACACAGCAGGCAAATTTTGTGCTTTAGAAAAGCTAAATTTATAGTTTCCATGAAAAGGAGTAGCAAGAAGCACAATAATTTGAACAGATTTAGGCGAAAGCTTAGATAATTTGACATTGTGTGAAAGGCTATGAAAACAGTGAAAAACCAGCATCATCTCGAAGTTTTCGGCCTTGAAAATGCTTACTTTTAGTCAGTAGGTTATTGCTTCTATGTGAAAAAGAACACTCGACGTACACTGAAGTTAGTGAAGAGTACTTGTGGCCTAGCACTTTCAATGCTTTAATTGCATCCAGAAAATTTGAATCAGCACCACTTGAAACTTTAGACACTTGCTTTAGCACATAAAATCTGAGATTCTTTCCAAGGTAGATTCAAGCTTTGAGGCAACCCTGTCAGCGACGGGTCTATTGGAGACGAGGCGAACCTTTTCTGCACATCCGAAAAAAAAAAAAGGGTATCCTTAAGCCTTCTTTTTAAGTGTCGGACTCGATAGTGATCTTCTTCATGACGCATACTTACACCACTTAGTGCACACCTTTATTGCAAGATGTTGTTCAACGAGTTTAAAATGTAGAATAATATACAGTATAATCGATAAAGTTGAAAGTGGCTTGTGTCAGTGAAGCTTTCACATATGGCTGCATTCTCTGTAATAGGTGCATGCGAGTTCTGTGCATGAGAGTTACCGCTAGCATGAGTGCTAGCGCTATAGGTTGCCTCGCTTTTCCTCCTTAGGATACAAGCCCCGCTCACGTAAAAGCCCGTTTAAGGGGGGGGGCATGGTGTGTGAAGATATTTTCTGTATTTGTGGACCAAACATGATGAAAAGATACATGCTTATGTAGTTTCTCCTGTTGATTTCAAATATGTAAAAATTTCCATTGTAGATCAATTAATTTAGAAGATACACAATGTTGTGACTCTATTGTTTACAGAGACAATGGAAAAGAAGGTGCTTATCAAAAAGTAAATAATATTGCATAGCTAGACAGTACAATTAGCAATAAGTGCAATGCTGCAAGCAGATTTCAAATTAAAGAAAAACTAGTGACTCTGCAGATGATGAAATTTGAGGAGTCATGTCATGGCTATTACATACTAAGAAATTTAATACCTTTTAAATTTATACAGACAGCAAATGTAAATTCTGCTCTCAGCACTTTGTAATACACAGATTGGGTTTTACGTTAATGAAAAAGTTATTGCTCTAATAATGAAAAAGTTATTGCTCTAGCTGTTCTAGATTGCAAGATATCAACCCGACAATCAGTAAAGTCACCAAAAAGCATGTTTTCAGAAAACTGAAAAAAAGAAATAAAGCTCATTCATTTACATAACTGCACTTGAAAATGCTCAGTATGCACCGGGCACGTAGTTCTTTTGACTATGAGTCCCTGTGTGGTGCTTTTTCAGGGACTTGTGCATGTTCTCTGTTACTTGTCGCTTCTTGACTGATGCTGCCGTGCGCTGTTGATCCTTTTCAGCCATGCGGCTGCGGCTTTGCCAGCTGGAGTTTAGGCTCAGCTCTTTCATAATGTCTTCTGATGTCTTTTTATTGCCTGCATTGAACTTGAGCACTGCTTCTGCCACAGCTGCCTCTACTGTGAATAGCAAAGCTTGTTGCTCCTTTGGTGCCAGCGCCCAGATCATTGAATGCAGGCATTCGTTGTTATTTTGGGTTTTCGCTCACTGGCATCATTGCAGCAGCTTTCTGTCTGACAAGCGCTCATAAATGGGAAGTAAGCTTTGGTAGACATGTGGAGGCAGCTTTCAACAATGTTTGGCAATGAGCTTCCCCTTGGCCTTTACCGCATTTTGTTTGCACCAGGAATTTGGGCCAAGCAGGCACACAGTGTGGTTGCCACATCATTGGACATGATGTGATAAGTGGCCATTACTGTGTGTGCATAGCATCAACATCACCACTGTGTGTCTTCAGAGCCCACCCATAATAATTGGTGAGCTTGGAGATCAGGTCTCCTGTCAAGCGGCCCCCTAGACTCTCAAGGCCAGAGCTTTTGTGGTTTGCAATCAAGTTGGGCAAAGCAGTGCCCATACACTTTTGGACATAACTAATGCAGTCCTCTTTTTCCACTGGGATATACCCATAAAGCTTATCTTATTGTAGCGCAAGGTAACTGCGGCTGTCCCCGTCGCAAAGCACCGTGGTGTAGCGCAGGTTGTGCCGCTCAAGTGACATCCTGAAGAGGATGAGGGCAGCCTCAACCTCCATTTTCCCAGCCTTTGTGTCACTTTTTCTGACACTGGTGACGTTCCTTCCACATTGCATAAGAAGGGTAACCTTCCTTTGGGCCCGACTCGCATTCAGCACAAAAGTTGCTCAAAACGACGAAGTCAAGCACCAGCCCGCTGAACAATTCTATGATGGTGCCGAGACCGATATGCGACAAATGACCGTGAGTCATCCATGACCCATCAAACGACTCCGCGATGTTTCCCATGTGGCCTATATTAAGTTCAGTGTAAAGTTCGCGAACCGACCACGTGCAGTAGCTCATAAAATTACGTGCAGCACGATCGGCCGTGGGTGCCAACTTCGTCTTCACGTAGTGTTGCCACGTTTTTGTGTGAAGACCCCGACGGCTGATGCCCATCAACGAGAACACATCATTCAGCGTGGTCTGTCGGTCCCCCGTTGCCTGCATGGCATGCGCGGCCAAAACGTTCGCAGCAAAAGGTTTCATGCGTTCATCGCTTCGTACGCGCGGCGGGCTTACAAGGACGCAGTCTCCCCACAGGTCGAACGCACAAAACGCAGCTTCACCGCGAGTCCGAATTCCCGGTCGTCGCGGACAATCTGCAGTTCTCCGTTGCATGCCTTGCACTTTGCAAATGCAACAAAGTGCTGTTCACTGTGTCCAAATCTATAATTGTAAACCTGGTTCCATCAGGCAGCCGAGCTGCTTTGTTGGAATCGTCAACCACAAATGCGCGTTTCCTCTCCGTCGCTGCTGCGGACGACAACTCCGATAACTTATCTTCGGCTTTAGCTCGCTCCTCTTCCAAGTCAGATTGCTGCCGATAGATAGTATCTAGACGCACGCGACTGCTGCTTGAAGGCTCCGCGGCTGACGGACTTTGCACAGGCTCCGCGACAACTGATGCGGTAGCTAGGCCTTCCGTGGTAGCGTCGACGTCTTCGCCATAGGATGCGGAGAGTGTAGCGTCTCGGGGGGGGTTTGGCTATATGACGGAGCACTTCTTGAAATTCGGTACTCGCGTCCTTTGCACCTTTTTCGCACCAAACTTGTGCCGCATGCGGAGTTTGTGCTCTGGATTTGACATCGTGAAACTTCTCCGCTGACACTGTGGCAAAATGGCGCGCATGGGCGCGCACCTTAATACCCATTGCAGACGAAGCTAAAGGCCTCCACCAATATGGATGCAAGCTCAAGTCACGTGCACGAAGTAGCAAATAGGAAGGCGCTCTGCTACTTCTTTTTGCCTCTCATTTTACAAGCTGCCAATGGTTGAATTCTACCTATTCTGGCGAGAATTGGAAGGCGAAAGACGGCTCTCTCAAATGAGACGCATGAAAGGGCAGGGCCGCGTCACGGAAAATGTGCGATTTCAACGTGGAGGTGGAAATGTTGTAGACCCGTGTGCTCAGATTTGGGCGCACGTTAAAGAACCCCAGGTGGTCAAAATTTCCGGAGCCCTCCTCTACGGCCTCTCTCATAATCATATAGTGGTCTTGAGATGTTTAACCTCACAAATCAATCAAATCAATCCCTTCCCATGCTTATATATGAAATAGGCTCGAAGCAGACTACAGGAAAACATAGGCATTTTGCCTAAAGTTCCAGTCTTTAGTCATGACGATGGCACTTATGATGATAAAGAACAAGGGCATTGCAGACCACACATTCTCTTTCTGCCATCAAAGCACATGCAAGGTACCCACTATACGTCTTGATTATGACGCTCCTGATGATGAACAAGCGCATTCCAGACCACACATTCTCTTTCTGCAACAGAGCACAGTACATGCAAGGTACCCACTATATCCCAAGTTATAGGAATTTTAGGTGGACCGACGACACCTCCAAAATCGAAGAAATTTTGTCCCTGTTTTGCGAAGAGGGCCCGAGATGGCGCCATAATGACCATACGTCCGTTCGTGACTGTGAAAGCACCTCGGGGAAAAAAAAAAAAAGACAAAAAACTTCTGCCTTCTTTTGATAACGAGTGCAAAAGTAATTAAATTATTAAAAGCAGCAAACAATAACTACATTTTGACGATACAGCATAGATGGCCATGTAAAATGTTTAATTCACCCCCTCGAAGGTTCGCGATAAGAGCATGTGTGTTCGCATCCACAAACATCAGATCGTTTATTTAAACATGTGATGGTAAAGTCTCATCTAATTTTGACTCAAGATAGTTCTTGGTTGAAGTAATGTTTACATAGTAGTTAGG